CTCCTTTTATCCCACATCAACCTTCAAACAAATCTGTTTTTACCTTTAACATAAACCTGTGTGGAGGTTTGAATTCATGTTTATCCACTTAGCATTTTTTGTTTTTAAATCTAATGCCACATCACCAATATGCAAACCACGGACTGGATCTGCAGCCAAATCTATTACCGATCACTCTGCAGACCTTTTCTCATACATACAGTTCTTATTCCCATATATTTTAATCTGGCCGAAAACACAGTCATCCAATCAAATTATTTATGCAGAGGGTGTGCGAGAACAGAAACCGCGAAAGTTCAAAGAAGGCGAGGAAACTGCTGACGGTCCACAGATGCTCTGTTAGCCTCTGTGTTAGCAGCATGCTACGACTTCACCCTTCATACTCAAACTAGAAGTGAGCAGAGGGACTGTCAATAATTTAAACTTATTCATTATGTATATTTTAACGTGATAAGTGGAGAACATTTTAACTGAATTATAAATGAGACAATGTTGTTTTTTTGTGGGTGACAAACTCACCTGTGACTGTGAGGTTGATGAAGAGACTGATCTCAGTGTGAACTCTTTTATTTCTCACAGGGTTCCTCACTGCTATGTGACACTCATACATCCCAGTGTCATTAAATGTGACGTTCTTCAGGATCACAGAAACGTCTCCATCCTTCATCTCCGGGTCCCTCAGCTTCACTCGGCCATGAAAAGATGGATGTTGGTAGTTTTCATAGGAGCGTTTGTTCCTGTAGAAGTAGACGTAGCCGTCTGTGTTCAGGTCAGCTCTGCTCCACTTCAACACTGAGATTCTTTCATCTGTGATAATTTGACACTGGAGAGTGACATCATCCCCAAGCTTCACTTGCAAACCCATCTGTAGCGCTGAAGACAAAAATCATCAGTTTTTATCTTAATGCATCTATGTTTATTATTAATTTTATAATTTTAATGCATGGAACTGATGTTAAAACTGCACATTTGACATTTGCATCTGCTGTGCTGATGCCTAAAGGGAGCAGTCAAAAGAAGTGTTATAGAAATGTAAAAATTTTATCTTGAGATGCATTAACTCCTTCAAACCCGCAACATATGGGCCTGAAAACTGCTGCTTCAAGTTAATTTAAAAGATATACACAAACACTTTGATGAATCAATGATTATTATAACCAGAGTCACCATATCAGGCTTCCAGTATATAATAATTTAATGACATAATTATTATGTCATTTTAAATTACATAATAATTTAAAGTCTAATATAGTTAAATAAAACTATAAAAATATAAAAATAAATTAACTATAAAAATATAGTAAATTTGTCATCAGTCAGCTTGATTTTTTGTTTGTTGTTGGTAAATAAATTACACTCGTTTAAGAGTGTAGGGGAGTGAAGAGAGAGTCTGCATCTGTAAGATAACATGTATGCAAACAGGAAGAGAAAGTGAAAGGGACAGCTAATAAAGTATGAACCGAGTGTGACAAATGAATATTTGAACGAATTAAGAGAAAAAGACGTGTGAATCCTAGTTTGTATTTTTTGTTTATAAACTCAGGGATTGCAGTGATGCTACAGATTAACATGCTTATTTAATCAGTCAGTTCATGTGGACATAAGCAATGAACATTACTAGAAACGATAGAATTTTTTACTGTCTGTTGGAGGAAAACATCATCCGGCCAACACTTAAACCTTTACAAACAAAACCATTAACTGGGCACTAATTAACTTCCCATGTGAATTAAATGGAGCTCAGCTAGCATAAACATTGTTCACTTTACTCATGAGTTTTTGGTTTGAGAAGAAATTTTAAAAATGTAAGTGTGTTTCACTAACCTGCAGAAACAGATGCTAGAGGCAAAAACAGGAGCAATCTTACAGCAGGCATCTGTGAGCGGAGGGTGGAGAGGGGAGTAGCAGCAGCCTGATAGTGAGACAGAGAGGAAAGCCTACATCAACACCAAGCCTTTTATATAGCGGGGGACTGATCCTAATCTTATCGCTGAAACTGCAGCTGGCACAACACCAATTAGAAATGTTCATTTAACATTTTAGGATATTTATAACCAATCATTTTAACCTTAGAACACTATCACTGGGGGATTTTCACCCAAGCAAATATATTTACACAATTTTCAATATGTTGCATTTGTCTGAGTGTCATGGGTCCTTGCGTAGCTTCAGCACTGTCTTTGACGTCTTTGAAGGCTGTTTCCCTACCCCAAAGCCCACTTTTTTCCTACAGGCATCTGTTTGGGTTTGTTTGTTTCTTACTCTCTGATTGTGTAATAAAAGTATGAACATGTATTGTATGAAGCGCCTTGAGGCGACTTTTGTTGTGATTTGGCGCTATATAAATAAAATTGAATTGAACTGAATTATTTATAAGTTACACTTGTGTTTGAATCCTGCAGCTTATCACACATTTGATTTCCATGTGTGACAACTGCAAGTGTCCAGAGTGAGGACAGACTGAGGGACCCACTGCTGCACATCATCTGTGAGGCTTTGCACCCCTGATGATCCACCAGGACAAACTCAGCAGTGTGTGAGGAAGAGGAGGAGGAAGAGCCAGCAGCAGCTGACAGATGGAGAGAATAGACAGACTGTTCCCTGTATGTGAAGGACTGCTAGGAAAGTTTAACATAACTGTCTGTCCTGAATCAGTCTTATTAGGTAATGTTCAAATAGTTTTATCCTCCCAGTGTTTTCAGTGTGGGAGAAAGTACTCATGGCCTTCAAGTTACACACTATGAAAGGCAGCAACAAGTTTAATGTTCAGAATAATAAAGTATGTATCAGCAGCAGGATGGAGCTAAAAATAAATGTTTGTTTCAATTCTATGAAGCTTTGAGTATTTTGGATCAGTAGCACTGCTGTGTTTGTTGCATCATATTGCTGTAATTGTTTATATGCTTTATATATTCTGAGGTAAGTTGATCTATAGTGTTACATCATATTCTATAAGGATGTTATGTGTTTGTATACTTTCTGCCCAGTTTGACCCATTTAGCAGAAGTCAGCCTGTTTAAGGCTCTGATATCTATTCTGTATGACTTAAAGCAGTTATGACATGGTCTGATTTTCTCACCCAATAAAGGAATATTTCATATATCAGTCTACTCTTCATTCTATCAGAAATGGTCTTCACAGCTCGTACATTTTCTTTTTACACATGTAAGCATTGAGCCAAATGTAATGATGCCAACATATTAAACGAACAATATTTGTCTCTTATGTATAACACATCTGTATATCCACTGTCAGATACTTGTCTTTGAGCACTGTTTCATATTCGTGTGTCATATGCTTATTCAGCTGATCTCTGACGTCTCAACAGTAGGTTATGCACAGAAAGAAGGCAAGGCAAGGCAAGGCAAATTTATTTGTAAAGCACAATTCACCAACAAGGTGATTCAAAGTGCTTTACAGAGACATTAGAAACAAAAACAAATAAAAAGCATGATTTAAAATTGATTAAAACAAGCAAACAAACAAACTAACTAAACACACACATTCACATTCACACCTGTTCGCGCGATCTGAACCCTTATCGTAAGGGGAGCTTCCAGTCCTTCTGTGGACGAGCTACTTTCTATTTTAAATTCCCTGAATTTAAAATACTCTCTAGAAATGAAAGAAAGGAAAAGAAAATGAGTGAGTGCGCACAGACAGACGCAGAAAGTCTGCACAGGAAGTTTTTAACCTCCTATCAGTGAATCTGACGGAACTTTCAGGTTCTATGAAGCCAGCAAACTAAAAAGAAAACAAACCGCTCTGCTGTTTCTCCACCCTCCATGTCAGTTACTGCTTATCTGCAGTGACAGCTGGCAGATCACGCGGTTTAAAGGCATGTTTACATGATAAATATGAAGAAAGCTCTTGTGTGACACTGCTGGAGTCAAAACAGGTTAACACTCACCTGCAGAGATGACCAGATGTACCAGCAGCCACATTGTCAAATTGTTCTGCTGATCCGACTCTTCAAATTTTGCTAATTATCCCAGTTTAAACTATGATGGGGTTAAATTTCAGCTTGGAAATAAAGCTGAGATGTCCGAGTGGGTACAGTCGCGTTTGTTTTCAGCAGCTCGATCCGATTGTGTCAGGAGAAGGAGAAAATAAATAATAATAATATAATGAGGGCGGGGTCATAAACACGAGCGTAAATGCGACGAGGCTGAAGACAATAACAAAAAGCGTGTGCTTCAGGGCTGATAGAAGCTGTTTAACACGCTTTACTTTATATCTACCTGCCCATCTCTATTTGATGATTTCATATTTCAGTATTTCTCTTTGATCTCTCATCCTCCTCTGCCTCACACTGAGGACATGTCTGTAAAAGTTTGAAACTGAGTGTTTAGAGCAGCCTGAAGTTTTGACTTGCAGGGATTTCCTACTCTAACATCATTGTTTAATGTGACGCTCTAGAAGACGATGTACATCACAGGAAAGATGAAGCCTTTTTACTTTACATCTCTGCACCATCCTCAGCCACACAGTGATCATCCTGCATGGGTTTAAAAAGTAATGAAAACAAAAATAATGAAACCTGTTTTATTGTTTGAGGGCATTAAAGAGCACACATGTCACAGTAGTAGAAACAGAATATTTCTAAGGACTAAGATGATGACTGTGGAAGTGGGCAAGGAGTTTAAAAATATCTGAAAGTATCTCTGAATATACTCTGAGTGCATTTGATTTATGTTTTAGAGACAATTCAGTTGATTATTATTCATGTGATTATGTTTTCCTGCCACTGAAAAATAACAGATCTTACAGTGTCTCAGATTGCTCTGCTCATGAGCACCTGGGAGTTTCTAACACATGGCTGGTTGAAAGAGGAAATCTCCATTGTTGATGTGATGGAGAGAGAAACTGTCTGTGAAGTTTCCTGTAATAATCACACTACAAAACAAACAGGTGCAGACTGTAGTGACTGTAACCTGCTGAGAAAGTACAAGAATTCTTTTTTTCTGCATTTTTTAACAGATTTAAAAACAAACAACAACTTTCTTAAATTTTATTAAGATACAAACTGAAATGTAATCAATCATCTTTCAGGGAGAAAGTAATTCACATTGTTGGAAATTTCCCAGAACACCAAGAGTCTGTGGGCAAAGGTAAACACACAGGCAAACAGATGCGGTGAGGGAATGATGAAAGGAAAGTGGAAATAACAAAAGACATAATTAAACTAAAACACACTGAACAAAATGTTGGGGGAAAACACCATGATGCAAATGCAAACAGCAACCTCTCAAACAGATTTCAAAAGTACGAAAAACTCAAGACAGAGAAGCTTTCAAACTGAGAACATGAAGTCTGAGTAAAAGCAACCAGAAAACCCCCAAAATTATGCAATAAAAAACTTAAAAGGAACTCAGTGCCTTGAAGTGGTCATGAAACAAAAACAGTAAAATAACAGCAGAAACATAAAGAAACAAACAAAAAGAAAAAAAAAAGTCCCAACTGTTACTATGAAAATACAGAAAATGAAACTCAGATGCTCACAGGTTATGCTGGGAAACAACTGTGAAACAATTACGCTAAACAAACAAATACAAAAGAGATGTTATTGTTAGAGTTTGAGTTTGTCACTTTGAGTGGGTATAAAACTGATTTGGTTGCAGTTTTAAATTTGTTTGTCTGCCCTGAAGATTTCATGTGGATATCTTCTGCACTTCAGGGGAAAAATGCTGGAGAAACCGGGTGAATTAATACTACAAAGAAAGTCTGTGTGTTTTTTCTAAATATACTAAAGTTATGGTGCAAAAAAAAAAAAAAAAAAAAATCAGCTGATTCTGAAGAGGTCAGGCGGGAACTATGAACACAGACGCCGCTCCTTCTCAGAAGCACATCGCCCACAGAACTGGTCCCACCTGTCCTCCCTCTCTGTGTATTGCTCTCACGCACAATTAGCTTACTGTACCAGAAACTCCTGGACGTTTCAGACCAGCTGCTGGTTATCTGCCTCCATGTGCTGCTGTTTCTTTCTTTTAAATCTCCACATTGCCACAAATCCAGCTGTAATAACAATGACAGTCGCAGCAGCAGAGACAGCAGGAACAACCATCTGATCTGTCCTAGTCTCCACTTCTACCACCTCCTCTATGTTTCCATCTCCTGTTTTCACCAGTTTCATGTTTCCATGAGTTTCACCTGCAGAAAAACATCAGCTGTCAGCGGAAAATCTGTCAGACACCAAAGCAGCAGCAAACCTACAGGTGTTTGTTGCCACAGACTCTGCAGCCATAATCAGTGCTGATACCTCATGTTATTTTTGTGCATATGTTTTCTTACCTTCTGCACATATTGTACATTTAATCTCTGAACACATCGTAATTCAATTAACTGCACATACACGTGCATTTTTGTGTATTTCTATGCTGTATGTGTGACATTTGTTTAGTATGTTTTGCTTGTCTTTCTGTAGCACCGATGTGGGACAATACTACAATTTCAGTATACTATTGTACAAACTATGACTGTGCAATGACAGTAAAGAGCCGGCCCTACAGCAGCTTTAGCTCCTCATCAGAAAAAAAGCATGTCTAGCATCTGTGCTAGCAGCATGCAATGCTACTGCCCTTCACATTCACACTGGAAGGAGTGAGCAGAGGAGACCATGGGAGGTACTCTTCATTTATTTGTCAAGTTGCAAGTGCAGAGAAGTGTAACCGTCTCATAAAGCTGTGAGACTGCGCAGTTCCTGTAGGTGCTGGGAGCCAACTGATTTTATTTTCAGTTTTCAGGTTTGTAAATGATGTGGGAGCTGAGCGTGAGCTCCACAAACTCACCTGTGACTGTGAGGTTGATGAAGAGACTGATCTCAGTGTGAACTCTTTTACTTCTCACAGGGTTCCTCACAGCTACGTGACACTCATACATCCCAGTGTCATTAAACGCGATGTTGTTCAGGATCAGAGAAACGTCTCCATCCTTCATCTCCGGGTCCCTCAGCTTTACTCGGCCATGAAAAGATGGATGTTGGTAGTTTTCATAGGAGCGTTTGTTCCTGTAGAAGTAGACGTAGCCGTCTGTGTTCAGGTCAGCTCTGCTCCACTTCAGCACTGAGATTCTTTCATCTGTGGAAATCTGACACTGAAGAGTGACGTCAGCTCCAAGCTTTGCCTCAATATCCTGCTGAAGAGCTGAAGACAACAAAATAATCAGTAATCATGAGTTTAATTTGAGCCCTGTGATTTTTTTTAATTCATGAAGCTGCTGTTAAACATAACCTTTGACACTTTTAATGTTTCACACATCTCTGGTGTGAGCGCCTCATGATGGAAACGTTTTTAGGCAAGTAAGCGAAGTGACTTCTTGTAAAACGCCTGCAGTTCTGGGAAAAATAAAAGTTTCCATTAGACTAAGTGAAAATTTAAGTAAACTGCAAGACTCAGGAGCTTTCTCAGCGATGACCTGACATAATCGTCTCTCACATCGCTGTCCTTCTGTTCTTTACACTGTTACTTCAGTTCAAAGCTAATTTAAATTCATATTTCCAGCTTCGTAACAGTTTACAGGGGGGTGAATTTAAAAGAAAAGGAAATAAAATTAGGAACGTGGATAATTAACAGGCGTCATAAGATGGCTGTGTGCAGCTTCTAGCTGCTGACTTAACCTCAGCTAACTGGAGATGCGTGAATTAGACCTGTGGACCTTCTTTGTCCTGTTGGAGCATTTTTAATTTAATTATCTCATAATTATTATTATTGCTGCTGTGCAGAGGAGACCATCAAATCAGTTTTTGCTCTGCACAGGTTTTTTGAGTGATTTATTTGGATGTTAGCATATCAGCACATCCAATACAGATCCTACAATATTCAACATGAACCCCAATAATCAGACGACCCCTATGAGCAAGCAGTTGGTGACAGCGGGAAGAAAAAACTCTCTTTTAACAGGAGGAAACATTCCGGTTGAGGGTGAGCGCAGGGAGACAGGATAAAAGACATGCTATTGAACAGACTGTGAGATGAATAGTAACTCGGGATTAAATGCAGAGAGGTGTATAAACACATGCTGAGTGAAAAAGAAACACTGTGCCAAACTGCAAAAAACAGGTGGTCCTCAGGTTATAGCAAACAGAAAAAAAAAGGGGGCACAAACCAGAGCGTGGTTCTCCTCTCTGAAGGGAAGTACCATTAATACCAAGTGAAACTGGGTTGAAATTGTTTTTTAGTATTAGAAAAAGGACAACATTGCCCAAAACCTCCAAACAGGTGGCCCTCTGTTTACATAAACCAGGTTTTAGAGAAAAAAACTAGAAGTTCAGATCATGTGTTCACAGCACGATTAAGATAAACTAGGATCTAAATTTACTGGTTCTTAGTTGTGGCGAATTCAATAAGATGAGACAGATTCTTATGCCTACTACAGGAGACAGAAGATAAATAGTTTAGATTGATAGTTTCTTTAAACCGCAGCACTTAAATTATCTGAAAGAAAAATCGAAAATATTTTCTTCTGTTTTGTTCAGATTTGGTGTCTCCACTTTGCTGCACGTCAGGTTTGAGTTTCATTAATTTGTCAAAAAAAAGACAAAAAATGCAACAAATTAAGTTTAAAAATTAATATGATTGTTTTTGTTTTTTTTACTTTGTGTAGTTCTATTAGAGCAGAGGTTGGGAACTCCAGGCCTTAAGGGCCGGTGTCCTGCAGGTTTTAGATCTCTCCCTGGGTCAGCACACCTTAATCAAATAATTACGTCATTACCAGGCCTCTGGAGAACTTTAAGATATGTTGAGGAGATAATTTAGCTATTTATATCAGCTGTGTTGGATCAAGGACACATCTAAAACCTGCAGGACACCGACCCTGGAGGCCTGGAGTTAGACGCCCCTGTATTTGAGTGATGCTTTGAAATATGCATGTCGGACTAAGCATCAGTTTGTGTGAAACTGATGCTTCCACTGCACCAGATTACATATAAAGCTTTTATAAAATTTTTACAGATTTCAAGTGAAATAATATTTTAAAAATCATGTTAATTAAACAGTGGTAACATTTAAAAATATAAAAAAAGATTTTTTTCACAAGCCAATAGAAATCTTGATGGGCCATTAAAACTCAGAGGCAGAGTAAAAGTAATTTTTTCTGCCTTAGTTTAGATTTCAAATGTATTGTGTTTTCATGACTTTGACCTTACTTGAGGTTATTTATGCAGTTTTGTATTTTAACAGGAGATTACGGGTATGTAGGTGTTTATCCCTCACTAATTTTCTGTTTTGAAGTTTGCAGTCTTTTGTCTTTGTTGTCAGCATCCTGCAATTTCATAAAGTCAGCATCAAAGCGAAAACACTGTACAAGAACCACAGACTCAGGATGTTTACATTGTGGTTTAACCAGGAGTGTACCGAGAGGGTGTCTTAAAACTCTGGTACTTTTTACTTACGTAAAGTCTAAAACAAAATTTTCAACAGCTTTCAAAACATCGTAAAGCCCTGTGCAGACATTTTTCTGTAAACAGTCTTGATTTTTAGGCTCACATTCAGCCATAATACAAAGGTTTTCACACCAGTTAACCATACTGGTGATTTTTCTCTGATCAAAAATCTCGCAAAATCCTGGAAACACCTCCTGCAAAGGAGATCCCCATCCCGCAATGAGTAGAATCTACGCCATCCACTATCTCACTATCAAAAACTGCAGTGTATTAACTCGAGACTCTTCATCCAAGGTCAATAAAAAGTGATTCAGGAAAAGAGGAAGTCATATTGACCACAACCTCCAAATAATACTCAAAAATGAACATTTCACATGTTAAACAGATCACTCTGAATGATACTTATTAACCATTACTTAACCCTTATTACTCATAGGTTTCTTCTTGGTTCTGTAGGAATAAAAATACAACTTCAGTTTCACTCACATGTAGATGCAGAAACGAGGGATGAAATCAGTAGAAAATTGAGAGAATCCATCTGTGACCACAGCTGTAAGATACTGCAGAGGCTTCACCTACACCGAAAGATGTTGACAGGGAACAGAAACCTTTTATACACAGAAGCGAAACAGAAAGAGAGCCACTCCGGAGTGCCTCCACAGTCCGCGTCACACTGTGTGACACTGGTGGACATGCACACATGGAGCCGAACGCAATGGTGCAGGTTGATCACATGAAGGTACAGAAAGTTCCTGTAAATGCCCCACAATAAAAGCCTCAGTAAGCAATACAATGCAACTGTTTGCAGAAATGCTTTTAATTAGTAGCAAAAGCCAGAAGTGCTACTTTTAGACAAAAGAGCATATAGCTAATAGCTGCTTCCAGCTCCTCTCTAATAAACAGAGTTAAAAAGAAAAAATATTTTAAGTTAGTCATCAGTCTCATGTTGTGGACTTTTTTCCTTCTTAGCTGCTCTAAATGGTCTCTTGTTGTCCAAACGAATCAAAGTACTTTAAATATCAACACGACAGCTTTAACTTTATGTTTTGTGTGAACGTGATGCTCAAACTGCAACAGCTGAATCTGGTCTCTCACTTTAAGGGGAAGTGAAGTGTGAACCATCAGGAAACACTTCAGTTTGTTCGGGATTCTTTGGCTGTGCTGGTTATTCTGATGTCACATTCACTGAGCTGCAGATTGATGCTTTAACACTTTCAAGCCTCCAGGTGGCAGTAGAGCAGCTTGAGTGACAACAGATCATCATAGAAGACACAAATATTCAAGATTCATGATATGTATTGTCGTATACACTGCAAAACACAAATGGTTATGCTGAGCAATGAAATTCATACTTTGTGAGATCCCTTCACACGACTAAATAAACAACTAAAAAAAGATTATTATAATATAAGAATAAACCTAACTCTAAGCATAGAAAATAATAAGTAAAGTTAAATGAGTGTTATGTACACAAGGGTAGGGTTTAGTTAAACACTCATAAATATTCAAACATGATCATAAATTAAATCCAAATCAAAGAGTTTACTTTTCAGTTAAAAAAAAAGTGAAATGTCTCCAAATGACCTTCATACAGTCAGAGTGTTGGAGTGGATAGCAAAGAAGCCAGGCAATACTAACGAGAGTTACTCAATATTCCAGCGACGAATGGCTCAGAGCCCCAGCCTTAAGAAGAGCCAGAGAACTGCAATTCGCTCGAGATCAGCTTCAGGTGCGTGGGCCAAGGGCAGGAGCCCAATCAGAGCTCCGCCCAGGCAGGTAGGAGAGAGAGAGCGAGAGAAAAACAACAAACACTTGTGGCCACACTGGGCTGGCTGGGGAGGCACAGGGACCATGACACAGAGGCCTCAGTCACTGTGTAAAGATTTTGTTTGTTTGTCAGTTCTGGCAGTTTTCGAGTCAGCATAAAACTTTCATAATCACACTTTTATAATATGGTAAAAACATTAAAGCCTTGGCTTTCCTTTAGTTTGTGAGAACTGCCACTGAAATTAAATTGTATGATCACTGACTCTGGTAGCATTTTTTAAACTTTTTTACTTTAAATTAAGCTTTATGAACCCAAGTGCACTCACACACAAAAGTATTCACACAGGTGTACAACAGGTAGTCAAACAAACACTACTGGTAATGTGAAGTTAATTTGTTCATTTACAGCTTCATGTCATTATTCTTGAAGTCTACTAGGACAAGTTTAAGTTCCACCACACTGTGCAGATGGGATAGAGACATAGTAAGCAAAAGTTTATACAAATATTAGCCCTCAATGTGAAATATATGAAGAACATCTGGTATATACCAGCCTGGCCTGAGTCTTCTGTCAGAAACTGTCTCTAATAAAGCTCCATAGACACACTGAACATGAACGTCATGTACATGAAATTGCTGCCAGTCCTAATCAAATATAATGTGTATGTGTGTGTGTGTGTGTGTGTGTGTGTGTGTGTGTGTGTGTGTGTGTGTGTGTGTGTGTGTGTGTGTAGGACAGAAGCAGACAACTCTATAATCAATCTATAATAAATAACAATGACGTCAACTTCTGCTGGGGTAGTAAACACTCACAAGCAAGGATTAGGGTTAACCCTTAATCCTTAAAGTCCACAAGGGGTCTCTGTAGACCATAAATTGGTATTCAAGATTGCCAATACTTTAGTAAGACAGAGGTGGCAAAACGATCCAGAGTTATAGAGTAAATTAGTCCTTTTAGTTATTCTCAATACAGCTGGATGTAATTACTGCAGGAGAGTCAGGAGGAGCTGGAGGTATGCAAGCTCAACAACTTCATCTCACAAACACATTAACTTTATAATGTGGTTTTATAAAGGGTCCCTGCAAAGTTGCACATTGTGACACAAAAGTTGTCGGTGGGAATAAACAAGACTCTTGAAATGAAGATTTTTGAACTGAGACTTAAACATACACACTTTTTCTCTTCCTCCTTCGTGTGCAGCCTTTCATGATGTGTAGATAACCTTAACCTTGGTTTTCACAGAAACATCACAGCTATCACAATTCTAATGTGTGTTTCTTCTTATGGAGCCACGGTTTGTTTTAAATCTAAGATGAACACTGACTCCCTAGTAGAAAAGATGTGTCAGTATTGTTTTGGTGCAGTGTGAATATTTTCTCTGGAATATAAAAAAATCTTTCTTCTGCTGAGGAAGAGCTGAAGAAGACATGTCTGCCCCTGCTGGTCTTCATCACTTTAATGTCAGACTCCGGTTGTTCTTCTGCTCTCACAGAAAAGTTCCCTGTTTTCTGTTTCAGACCAGATCTACACTCAACAAAAATATAAACGCAACACCTTTGTTACTGCTCCCATTCCCCATGGGATGGACGTAGAGACCTAAAATTCATTCCAGATACACAATATAACCATCCCTCCCAAACAGTGGTCACAAATCAGTCCAAATGTGTGGTAGTGGGCACATCTGCCATATTGAGATAATCCATCCCACCTCACAGGTGTGCCACATCAGGATGCTGATCTGACATCATGAGTAGTGCACAGGTGTACCTCAGACTGCCCACAACAAAAGGCCACCCTGGAATGTGCAGTTTTTTGCGCTATTGGGGGTCTGGGGACCCAGAACCGGTCAGTATCTGGTGTGACCACCATTTGCCTCATGCAGTGCAACACATCGTCGCATGGAGTCTATCAGATTGTCAATTGTGGCCTGTGGAATGTTGGTCCACTCCACTTCAATGGCTGTGCGAGGTTGTTGGATATTCGTGGGAACTGGTACACGCTGTCGTATACGCCAGGTCAAGACCCCGATGAGGACGACGGGCATGCAGTTGAGCGTCCCTGAGACGGTTTCTGACAGTTTGTGCAGAAATTGTTTGGTTGTGCAAACCAATTGTTCCAGCAGCTGTTTGGGTGGCTGGTCTCAGACGATCTTGGAGGTGAACCTGCTGGATGTGGAGGTCCTGGGCTGGTGTGGTTACACGAGGTCTGTGGTTGTGAGGCCGGTTGGATGTGCTGCCATATTCTCTGAAACGCCTGTGGAGACGGCTTATGGTTGAGAAATGAACATTCAATGCACGGGCGACAGATCTAGTTGACATTCCTGCTGTCAGCATGCCAATTGCACGCTCCCTCGTTGCTTGTGGCATCTGTGGCATTTTGCTGTGAGACAAAACTGCACATTCCAGGGTGGCCTTTTGTTGTGGGCAGTCTGAGGTACACCTGTGCACTACTCATGATGTCAGATCAGCATCCTGATGTGGCACACCTGTGAGGTGGGATGGATTATCGCAATATGGCAGATGTGCCCACTACCACACATTTGGACTGATTTGTGACCACTGTTTGGGAGGGATGGTTATATTGTGTATCTGGAATGAATTTTAGATCTCTACGTCCATCCCATGGGGAATGGGAGCAAAAACAAAAGTGTTGCGTTTATATTTTTGTTCAGTGTATGTAAGCTAGTTCATCAAGATGGGGAGGAAGTGGGAGTATTCTTCATCTTTTCTTTCTTGGAGATCACAGCTATGACAGCAATGGTCACAACAAAAGCAGACAGAGCAGCCACCAGTCCAAAGGGTCCTCTGCTGACTCCACCCGTCTCCACTCCATCTGCTGTGTGTGGTGGACATGCAGATTGGACAGATGTGAGACATCAGCTGTCAGTAAGGTGATGACTTATAGTATTACTGTGTATTATGAAGTAAAAGAAAATGCACCATAAAAACAACTTAATAGATATCAAAGCCTTTGACCAAAAAACCTACCCTTTAATGACTCACCTGGAGGAACAACACTCAGGCTGATGGTACTAATCCTGTGTTTTGTTCCTCTCCTGAAGACGCGACACTCGTATGTTCCAGTGTCATCAATCGTCACATCCTTCAGAATCAAAGACATGTCTCCATCCTTCATCTGTCTGTCCTGCAGATCCACCCGGTTCTTAAAAGCTGGATGCTGGTTGTCCGGAACAAAAACCTCATCTCTGTACAAAAGCACATATTCTTGCTTCAGGTCAGCTCTGCTCCACTGAACAGCCAAGATCTGCTTATTATTATTTGGAGCTTGACATGTCAGTGAGATGTTCTGCCCAGACTCAGCTGTGATGTTTGTCTGGTCTAAAAGAGGAAACAACACAGACCAGAGACATTAAAGGAAACATTCAGCACAGCAGCCAATCACAGTGAGGCTACAGAGAGACCTGAGCTCTGCTGAACTAAACCAGAGACAGTGAAGCATCTGGTGCACTGATGTTCTACAAACTGACCAATAGACCATTTGATTGAAAAGAAACAGGACTGACATGCTACAAGTGAGAAGCTGCTGTACCATATTTACTGAACTGTTTACTTTATTTGAGCTATTCAGTGATATAATGTATTGAGCTAAGCTGTTTTTCTGTTTTGGCTGTTGTAAAGAGGGTGCATATATCTGACTCTTACTACACTATTTTTATCCTTCACATCATCTTGAAACATTCTGTAGTGCAAACAACATTTAAACTAGATCTCCTCACTTTTACTTTCATGTCGGATGATGCTCATTCTGTTCTGATCCAGTTTTTCATTAAGCAAATAAGCATCACAGTTTCAGAGTGAAAAGTACCATTAACCAAATAAATAGAATAGAAAGGATTCAGAGCATTAAATTTATACCCGTGTGAATGAACCT